TGGTGCTGAGGGCCCATCTCAGTCCCCACGTGTGCTGCGTCAGACAAGGGTGAGATCGACCAGTCAATATCCCCCACAGCCGAGCATGTGTCAGAAGCATCTGGAGGACCTGCTAACACACAGATTGCGGGGTCCCACCCCTGGAATCATTCATTCCTATGTCAGGGGGTGGTGCAGAAGTCTGCATTGCTAACAAGTCCCCAGGCGGCACTGATGCTGCTGGTCCTGGAACCACACTTGGAGAACCACTATACTAGTGTATCTACACTAAACTCCTTTTTAGTGTAATGTTATGTTTCAAAAATGTCTCCATTAGTCTTTATAATTTTTGATGATGGTATAATATTTAATTAAATCTTAATTAAAATTATTAGAATAGGCACATGCCAGGGTTGTGGGCTCAATCCCCAGTAGGGGGTGTGTAGGAGACAGCCAATCAATGATTCTCTCCCATCATTGATGTTTCCATCTCTCCCTCTCTGATATCAAAAAATATATATTTCAAACAAACAAACAAAAAACCCTTCCCATTCTCTTCCCCCAAAGAAAAGATGTCCAGGTTCAAAAAAATAATATTTAGGGATTAGGGGAGTGGCAAATGTATTATATAGTATATTATCAATGTCAAAGTTATCTTATAAGCCTATTTCCGGTCTGTTTAAAATAAAACATGGCTAGCTATAAAATTTTCCTTTCCCAATAAAGATTAAGAAGCTCTACCCTGCCCTAACCGGTTTGGCTCAGTGGATAGAGTGTCGGCCTGCGGAGTGAAGGGTCCCAGGTTTGATTCCTGTCTAGGGCATGTACCTTGGTTGCGGGCACATCCCCAGTGGGAGGTGTGCAGGAGGGGTGTTTCTCCCTCATCGATGTTTCTAACTCTCTATCCCTCTCCCTTCCTCTCGGTTAAAAAAAATCAATATTTTTTTTTAAAAAAAGAAGCTCTCCCCTATAAAGTCACAATCAATGGGATTTGGTAATGAGTCACGTCCTTCCATTCCCACCATCATTATACCATGCTCACTACTTACTCCTTTTCCTTTTGGAAAATGATTCGTAATCCTCCTTTATAACCTGCTCTCTATCCTCACCTTCAACCTCCTCAACAAAGAACATAGAACTAAAAGGTTCCCGTTTCTGGCAGGTCAAGGTCATCACTAGACTAAAACTCCTGGAGTCACGGAGTCTACAGCATCATCTCTTCAGACCACTCTGCTACTTAATCTCTCATACAGCAAGGCTGCTTTCTCCCTCTGATGCTACCTCACAGCTCTTTAAACAAACATGCCCTTCCAGATCCTAATGATGATGAATATCTACTTTGTGCCTGTCTCCCCTGCTCAATCTCCCTGTGAGTTCACTCTGAACCCCGCATTTCTCTAAGACAACTGTCCTCAGCTTCCTCCAGAGCTACGGGGAGTGGCTGACAAGAGCAGCTCTGGGCGGGTTTCCATCTAGAGCACTAAGAGACTGCAGGACACTTTACTAACTGCCATAAATAACTGGGCCTACGGTCATTACAGCATGTAAGATGCTCCAATAGTAAATGTGACATGAAGAGTAAACACAAACGAACTGATGACTATGAACAAATAGACTGAAACAATCATATAAAGCTAAGATTATTAACGGTTTTTAAAAATAGAAACTTAACAACAAAACCGCCCGACCGGTCTGTGCCTGGCTCTGTAACTGCGGCTCCTGCCATAGGCTCACACACACCGAGGGTGCTCTTGCAGGTCATCTGGGCTTCACGTCATTACGCTGCCTCACCGACCGGTGTTACTAGACACTTCTCCCTCCTCCAGCCTAGTTATCCCTGCATAACTGCTTAAAGAAACTAATGGCTTGAGTACCAACAATTTACATTTTGCTTTAACAGAACATTTGCCAGTCAGTAGTAATAATACTATCCCAGAAAAACATACATACACAGAAAGCACTAAAGAGTGTGACACTGTCATTAAGCTGTGTACTCACACGACAATATTACTGAAGTCTAGGAGACAACTGCCGTATGACAGACAAAGTCTGTCTCTGGGTTTCAAACACAGTCCCATAAATGTTTCCAATCATGTGCCAACAGCATAAAATGGTTTCCCTGGGAAGATGCTTTCCACTTTGGCACACCTGGCAACTGTGCGGAAAACCCACAATGAAGGGGCACAGGCGATGCCTGGAAGCCACGCTCTCCAGGCCGTGGAGTGAAGGGCTTACTTTGAAGAAGGCCTCCATGAGCATCTGGTCGGGGTGCAGGTCCCTCCACGGAAGCTTCCGGTAGGCACTGTGAAGAGCGTACAGGATAAACTCTGGCATTTTGGGCGCTGTACACGCTTCACAATAATGCATCAGGTGTAACCGAAGGGCCCCTGCATCACCCGGCAACAGAATGCCTAAAACCGAAAAAGAAAATACAGCTCAAGACCTCTTAATTTACCTTTTAAAATAATAATGATACAAAATAACAATTTGAACTAAAAGTCTAAAACCTGAGATTCTCAATAATTATCCATTTTCAAAGATTTTCAGCCAGCATTATTAGCATAAATGCTCATATGTGATTTTTTTTTTTTTAAAGATTTTCACATGCCAGGGGGGAAATCCTGGAGACAGTTTAACAATAAAGAATGGTACTATAAGCCCTAACCGGTTTAGCTCAGTGGATAGAGCATCGGCCTGCAGACTCAAGGGTCCCAGGTTCGATTCCAGTCAAGGGCATGTACCTTGGTTGCGGGCACATCCCCACTGGGAGGTGTGCAGGAGGCAGCTGATCGATGTTTCTCTCTCATCGATGTTTCTAACTCTCTATCCCTCTCCCTTCCTCTCTGTAAAAAATCAATAAAAATATATATTTTTTTTAAAAAAAGAATGGTACTTTCTTGGGTAGCTGAAATGAGCAGCTGGTTTGTGGTAGCTAGCAGGGGTGATCAGTTTTCCTTCAAAACTTCTAACTAGATGGCTTTTTACACTTCCAGATGTCCCTTTAGTCTGTGGCCCTCAGCAGGGATTCAGGCTCTTGCCTAGGCACTTTGGTCCTTTGGAACCTTGAAGGAATCCAATATTCTTCAAAGAGAAATGTAACCAGACTATCAACTGTCATTCAGGTAAGTCATTCTAAAAGAAATCTCACGTTCTTCTGCAACCTGGATCACTCAGTATTATCCTCACAAGAATCGACTGCTTTAGTGTCTCCAGAGCTAATGTCAACATAAGGAGCATCTAGTCTAAAACAAATGGTTTCAGCCTTCAGGTTCTATGCACAGGAATGCAGCATAGTCGGTCACAGGAGAGAGCGCCACACACAATGAGGGCAGGAACCTGACAGTGTTTCTCAACACTCACTTTTGAAAAACATAAGCATAACACTTGGTACCCATCCATTTATCATTCCTAATAACCCTGTGCTAGATTCCCAGTCTTTACTCCACAGCATGAATCATTAACCCGTGGTTTAACCTTTTAAGACAGGGTGAAGGGTAGCACTGTTTAAATATGGATAAAAGATAGTTTTGCTTAGATAAGGATGGACATGTAGGTAGAAGACTCTGGGAGGAAATCCCTTAGGGTAAGAGTGAGCTAGTCCCAGCCCAAACACAGTAAGTTCTGTGACCTCACAAATGAGGGCAGAAGGAAGGTCCAAGGACTTTAGAGAACAATGAGCAGAGCAGTATGACTGGAGTAGAGTGTTTGCCTTTAAAAACCATCACATAATGTTGAAATGCACTGGGAAAGACATATTTGAATGATGAGCTATAACATTACACTTAAAAGTTTCTGAATAAGAGTAGGACATAAACAGTATTTTGGACAAGAACAGAATAAATAGACAGGAATAGAAACTGGACAGGAAAATAGGTGGCTACTGCAAGAATCTGAGCTGGGTGGTCCTAATGGCCTCATAAACCTCCTGATATAAATCATTTCAATACACTAAGAAAATATTAATATCTTTGAAAATGCGTAGTACACTCAATGGAAGAAAACGCCAGGAGCCAAAGCAAGGAGAGGCCAGGAAACCAGGGGGATAAAGTGATACTGAGGCCACAGATGCCTGGACTTTTTGCTTCTGGTTGGTTTTAACAGCACAGGAGACAGATCTTCCGAGGACTAGACTGTCATTGATTCAGGGGAAGGCACCTTCCCTATCTTGGCCTGGACTGGGACTTAGAGAGAAAAAAAGGTTTACTGTGGTAACTGAGGACTGCCTGCAAGTTTAGTTTGGACCTGGATTTCATGGAAGTGTGTGATGTGAGAAACCCCAAGCCAAGAAAGTACGTAGTTACAATTGGCCAAATGCAGACTTTCTCTGGAGGCACATCCCATCCTAGCCTTTACAGAATCTCCCTAGATAAAATTTCTCTAAACATGGGCTTAGGACACAAAATTACAAAATACACAAAATAAGAATTTGAAAGAACATCCAATAGCAGCATAATAAGTTCCCTGCAATGGGAACTTCAGATAATGCAATTGTTGCAAGAGATCATAAAGAAAAGAGGCATGTTTAAACATTTTAAAGAAGTGAAAACTAGAATTTTAAAAAAAGAAAAAAGATCCCGTCAAAAATGAGCAGGGTAACCCTAGCCAGTTTGGCTTAGTAGATTGAGTATCAGCCTGCAGACTCAAGGGTCTGGGGTTCGATTCCGGTCAAGGGCACATGCCAGGATTGCAGGCTTGATCCCCAGTGGGGGGCGTGCTGGAGGCAGCCAATCAATGATTTACTCTCATCATGGATGTTTCTCTCTCTCTCTCCCCCTCTCTCTTCCTCTCTGAAACCAATAAAAATATTTTTTAAAAAAGTTATCAGGGTAGATTTGAAAAATAAAAATTCTAGAAACTGAAATGAGGAATTCAATAGATATTTTAAAAAACTGGACATAGCTATAGTTAGAGACACTGAGTAAGTTGAAAAATAAACTTCCAGAATTTTCCCAAAATGAAATACAGAAAAATAGAAAAACATGAAAAAGAAGTCAAAGTCCTAGAAGATAGAAGGGGGATGGGCAATATTTGAAAGAAAGAGGCTGTATACTTTCCACAGCTGATGAAACTAACAGCTACTCACAAACAAGAGGCTACAAACTACACTAAATACTGTATCAGTGACTTCCTTTAGTCAAAGAGGACTGCATACTAATTAAAATAAAATCTAAAAAAGTAGGGAAGCAGAGGCAAAAGATTACCTGAATGACTTAGGGACAAAGTGACATAATAGACATAATACAACATCTTCCTACCTTTAAATCTCTCGTGCAGCGAGCCAATGCAGTCAGTGAACAGCTGCACGATGCCTGAGGCCACCACAGCATCGCTCTCCAGCCAGGGGTAATGGCGCTGGCTGCTTTAAACAGATGAAATGCACACAGAAATGAAATGCCATGGTTAAAATTACTCCAGGTCCCAGAGTTTAGGGCTTGCCTAAGTCACAGAAAACACTGTGTTATATAGCTTGAAAATGCATTTAGACTACTTCCCAGGCTGTGGGACAGGAGCAAGATATTTAATTTTTCTGAGTCTAAGAATCAGATGAATCAGTATTTGTGAAAACACCTTAAATACTATGATGTCTACCACTGTTGTAATTTTTACAAAACTCCCGTCAAGTTCACCTAGTTTTTGTCTGTATGCTTTTAGGGGGAAAAGACTTATAAGAGGTATTTGGACAGCTTTACACCTCTCTCTCTTAAGTTCTCACAAAATAATGTTTTCATTCTAGTGCAGAGTTCATGTTAAAAAGGTAATTCCCACCCACTAATCTGAAAGCCAACTTAGTTCCAAAAATAACTGAGGTACTGAATAAGATCAAGTTAGTCTCATCTTTTAGTGTCATATTATCCAAACCTAATTAAGGAGAGCAGCATCTGTTTCTCTGAAAGTAAGTACCAAAACTCATTCAACTTTATCATGGAAAACTAGAAATGAGTGTCCAGTTTTGCTTCAAAGTATCAAGATAACAGCTCTGATCAACCTGACTAACCTAACTCTACAAGCAGAAAATGTCTTAACTTTCTTTCATAAAGAAGCTTTTTCTAAATTTAAATATGGCCCTAACTCAAAAAAATTAAATCTGTCAGTGCATCACTTGTGCCAAAACAACATCAGAACTTTAAGTCCATACATTTCAAAAGAACTTGAATATCCGAAAAATGATGTACCTTTCACTGTCCTCTAAAACCAGGATCCATGGCTTAAACAGCTGGATGATCACTGAGTGCAGGGATCTCAGCACTGAAACAAACAAAAACTTTTAGAGACAAGAAACAAGCAAATCCTTTGTCAATATCACTGACAACACTATATAAAAGAATCTACTTCTGCCTGCCCAGTTTGGCTCAGTGGTTGGAGCGTCAGCCCGTAGACTGAAGGGTCCTGGGTTCAGTCAAGGGCACATACCTTGGTTGCAGGCTTGAGATCGGGGTGGGCACGGGGGAGGCAACCAATCCATGTGTCTCTCTCACATCAATGTTTCTCTCTCTCTGTCTCTCCCCCTTCCTTCCACTCTCTCGAAAAATCAATGGAAAAGATATCCTCGGATGAGGATTAACAAAAATAATAATAATAATTTACTTAATATCTGTATACTCATAAGCTTATCTTCACTAATAAAAGAGAAACATGGTAATTGGCGTATGACCGCTACCCTTTTCATTGGCTAATCAGTGAGATATGCAAATTAACTGTCAGCCAAGATGGAAGCCGGCAGCCAGGCAGCTTGAAACTAACGAGGCTTGCTTCCCTCAGTGACAGAGGAAACGAACGTTCCCCGCCTGAGGCTGCAGGCCGCTGAGCGGGCAGTTTAAGAAACATTTTAACAAATCCCCCCGGACTTCAGCCAGCAGATTCGCAACACTGTAAGCAAAGGCCAGAAACCTCCTTTCAGCCGCGGAGGCCTAAGAGCTGGAGCCAAGCCTCAAAGCTAAAGCTGGCCCAGAATAAAAGGAAAAAAAAAGAAAAAAAAGGAGCAGTTGGGAGCTTCAGTCACCCCCAGCCTGAAAACAGCCCTCAGCCCCTCACCCAGACTGGCCAGGCACCCCAGTGGGGACCCCCACCCTGGTCCAGGACACCCTTCAGGGCAAACCAGCCGGCCCCACCCATGCACCAGGCCTCTATCCTATATAGTAAAGGGTAATATGCCTCCCGGCACTGGGATCAGCGTGACAGGGGGCAGCGCCCAAACCCCCTGATCGCCCTGCAGCTCTGTGTGTGACAGGGGGCGGGGCCACACCTCCCTATTCACCCTGCTCTGTTCGTGACAGGGGAAGGCGCCCCAACCCCCTGATCAGCCCTGCTCTGTGCCTGATAGGGGGGAGCTCCCCCACCCCCACCCCTATGGGCCCTGCTCTGTGTGTGACAGGGTACAGAGCCCCAACCCCCCTGATGGGCCCTGCTCTGTGCAAGACAGGGGGTGGCGCAGCAACCTCCCCATCGACCCTACCTTGAGTGTGACAGGGGGCGGTGCCCCAACCCCCCAATCGGCCCTACCCTGATCGTGACTGAGGGTGGCATCACAACCTCCATATCTCCCTGCTCTGTGCATGATAGGAGGTGGCGCCCCAACTCCCCAATCGGCCCTGCTCTGAGCCCGACCAGGGGCTGCACCTAGGGAGTGGGCCTGCCCTCTGCCACCCGGGAGCAGGCCTAAGCCAGCAGGTCGTTATCTCCCGAGGGGTCCCAGACAGCGAGAGGGCACAGGCCGGGCTGAGGGACAAATTTTTGGGCACCGGGCCTCTAGTGTTGGTATAAAAACAAAAGTTTAACGTAACTAAGTACATTTTCATTTACTACAGCGTAATTTCCTGAATTGAATTTTTATTACAAAATGTTATGAATAACTTTGTAACAATACATTTGTGTAAAGATATAAGCTTAAATATTCAGAACCATTTTCTCAGTGATATAAGTAATAGGAAGAAAGAGATGGAGATTGAAACCTATTTCTTCAGACCCCACCCTACAAAGGAGGGGCAGAGACAAGCCGAAGCAAGCACCTACTCTCTAACTGAATATAGGTGCAGGTATGACACATACAGCCCATGGGTTCACATCTCTGCTATATATTTCCCTGCTTGACACTTTGATAGTTTTATCTCAAAGATTTAAACCTCTTAATGTGTCTATTCAAGCCACTTCCTAATGGAAGATCAAAACACCCACCTCCATGTTACACTCAAGCATATTACCTGTTTTGCTGCTGGCAGATGGGTCCTGGGCCAAGCATTCCATTTCTGAGTCAAGCAGCCTTTTCACAAGATAGCCCAAGAGTGTCTGCATATCACTCATGTAAGGACTCCACTTTGAGAATAACCCGAAACTTTTAAAGTCCAATGTGGATAAGCGAAGCTTATGAAAAAAGTTTGAGAGCCACTGTATAGTCTCCATTACCTGGAAGAGAATGACTGGTTAAAAACTGCTCACTGATGCTACTTGCACAAGAGTATCACAGTCGGCTGTGACTGACTTTGTAAGATTGTTGCCAAGTTATATAGCACGTGAAAGTAAATCATCATATTCCAAACTGTTTCTAAAATAGAGGAAACATTTACTTCAAATACATTTTCATGTGGACCATATCATAGAAAATGTGTCAAAATGAGAGCTCTGTGGAACATGACCTGAAATCTTGGCCGGGGGAGCCAGTGGTATAAAGTTAAGAAATAGGTGGGTTAAGGTGGGGAGGGAGTAGGCCCAGGCTGCTCTTGATCAGATAGGCAAGAATCACCGAGGTGTGAGAGAAAGGTGATCCGATAGAGGGGGCTTGGGGGGAAGCAAGTGAATGACAAAGAAAAGCTCAGAGCTCTTAAAAGATAATGCACAAAAAGGAACTTTCTAAATTTAAATAAAAAATAATTGTTTTTGTTAATCCTCACCCGAGGATATTTTTCCCTTTTTTAAGAGAGAGTGGAAGGGGGGGAGGCGGGAGAGGGAAAGGGAGAGGGATTTTTCTTTTTTTTTGTTTTTTTTTTTTTTGATAGAGAGAGAGAGAAAGAGGGGGAGAGAGAAGAGAGAGAGAGAGAGAGAGAGAGAGAGAGAGAGAGAGAGAGGCATCGGTGTGAGAAAGACACATTGATTGGTTGCCTCCCACATGTGCCCCGACCAGGGCCAGGGATCAAGCTTGTAACCGAGCTAGGTGCCCTTAACCAGACCTGGGACCCTTTAGTCCACAACCCAATGCTCTATCCACTGAGCCAAACCAGCTAGGGCAAAATAAACTTTTTAGCTATAAATGTAAAATGTGTTCCAATTGTTTAAATAGCAAAGGAAATGGAAAAGAAATGCACAGACTAAAAAAAAAGTCAGACACCAAAAGCTACACACCTGCTTGTCTGACAAAAGGACATCCGGAGAGCTTTGAAGCACCGTGCTCTCGGCAAGAGCTGCCCCCTGCTGGCAGTTTAGGGCGCAGCAGCCCAGGGCTCTCAGAGTGGCTTTCCAACACTCAGGGCTCAGCAGCTGCTCAGCAGAGCCTTATGGGGTAAGGACAGAGGACAGCAAGTCAGCATCTTTCACAAACAAAAATATGAATCAAAGAACACAAGAATTTTATCAAGGAATAAATATTAAATAAAAATCCAAAACAAATTCATAAAGATCTGTGGTGAAGAGACTAAAGTGAAGTGAACCTATTAAAAGAACTAAACTATCCACCTGAACACTTGGCTTCCCTGTTCCTGACCACCCTGCTAGGAGTAAGACAGCCAGAGCCATCTGAGCTGAAGCCCAGGAGGGGAACCCTGCCTACAGACCTGACTGGGGAGTGGTAAGGCGCCATCCTCCTGGCTGGATGATGTGAGACAAATAATGGTGACAGGGCAGGAAAGACTGGGTGCAGAAGCAACAGCAGAGTCTGGGCAGTCTTCAAAAGGTGTCATAAGTTCCCCTAAAACCACTCCTACAATGGGAAAACCTAAAGCAACACAGACATCATGCAAAAGTAGGGGCCACCAACCAACAGCCTACTCCTTGTAAAGCTCACATCCCAGAGGACAGGAATAATTCCTCAGGCCTTTTCCCGGAGATGGCACAAGGGTCAGAGTAACAGAGGCTCACAGGTGCAGGTCTGAGGGGAGGATGTTGGGTCAGCTGCACTATACTGAAAGGGTTTGTGTCCAACTGCTACCTGTTGTCTGATCTTAGGACAGAGGTCTAGAGCCACGCTACAAGTGTGGGATCATTCACACCTACAAGAGAGCCGTGAAGCCAGGAAAAATCAAACAGGCTCCCCCAGGGCGAAGGAAGAGAGCAGATGAGCAAAGAATGGATGCTAGGAACTGACATGGGGCCAGGGAGGGATGGGAAGCCAGGAGGCTGGAGGTCATGGAATCTGACAGGGGTGTACTGTTATTCCTAAACCTTTCATTGAGTTACCTCCCCTGGGAAGTATACATTTTCTGCTACATGCAAGTCTATGGTTGTCTACATAAACAGCGTACAATCTCTTTAAAAGCTTTCGGGGTGGGGAGTGGGGGGGAGAACAACATATACTTGATCAAATTTTGAAAATTTAGAACAAAAATTAGCTATGTAAATATGCATCAAAAATTGTACAAATAGATTTCCCTGTCAGTATTCTCCACTTGCCCTGCAACTTCCCTCCATAGGAAACAATGAAAGCCGGAGGGCTTTAAAAATGAGGCCACAGATTTCAGTATTCTGACAGTCCAATACATAAGAGCATTAACTTATTCATTAAATAATCTCTGATAAGTAACACAAAGATTTGGCATAAAGCAAAATTTAGTTTTCCATTACATCTGTAAATAGTATAAAGTCTGTATGAAAAATAAATACTATCTCATTTTTCAAGTAAAAATCCTGCCTAGTGAAATTCCAAAAATAAAAAGCCTACATTCCTTATCTCTCCTTTAGTCTCCAACACTCCAATGGGAAATTGCTGGAGGGGGACAGAAATGGTGGGAATGGGGAAAATTTAATGCTGCTCCTCTCCTTAACAAATATAAGTACAGTCAGTCTATCATTATGTAGGGATAAAATGCATTTGCAAAAAAATTAAATTAAAAAATTGAGGGGAAAAAACCCTAAAATCTATTCACTATTTTGAATAGAGAAACCAACTGTCAAGTAAGGAGCAACTTCCTTCTCTGATCAAATCTGTAGTCAGCAGAGTAACCAAGCTCACTTCTACCCCATTCAACTGCCAAGTCAAGGGAGAGAGATGGGTGCACAACTGTGGGCTCCAACACCAAAGGCTAAGTGCTGCCTTGCCCAATTAGGGCCCCTTCCAGCATTTTGGACAATAAATGACCGTTTTTACAAGTAGCCATCTCCTGGGCATTGTTTATCGAGTTCTTCAGGTAAAAGTCAGTCACGCTAATCCTGCGCACTTGTGTTACTTTCACATTTGTGGCTGACGTCTGTGGGATGGCGTCCTGTTATTCACTGCAGTCTAACCTGTCACTTACTTTGCATCAGCAGCCTGAGAATGTCACTGTACTGGTCAGGGAACTGGTAGAGAAGAAGGTAAGTCCAGTGCTTGCAGAAAAGGTTAAACGGCATCAAAATGTCTTCGTCTGGCTCGAGGCCCCAGGCAGTGAGTGCCAGGTGGATGGACTCCAGAAGCCTGGTGCGCTCGGACAGAGGCGGCTTGGCGGCGTTTAACCATTGCTTCACGTGGAACTAAAACGAAACAGACACAAGAGCAATTTTATTGACACTAGAAAGTTAACTGAAGTAGACTGAAGTCTCTACGATTTAATTTAAAAATCAAAGATTACCTAGCATTTAGATTTTCATAAAGACTTAAATAAACTGAAGTTTATACACAAACACCTAAAAGAATCTGGGCAGTTCAATGATTGATGGGTGCGGCTATGCCTCCATCTCTAAAGCCTGCAAAGGCAGAGTTTTCTCAGCTCCGCATGCTTTTTTGCAATTTAAAAAGCTTGTGGGGCCCTGGGCGGTTTGGCTCAGTGGATAGAGAGTTGGCCTGCGTTCAATTCCAGTCAAGGGCACATGCCCGGGTTGTGGGCTAGATCCCCAGTGGGGGGCATGCAGGGGACAGCCAATCAATGATTCTCTCTCATTGATGTTTCTAACTCTCTCTCCCTCTCCCTTCCTCTCTTAAGTCAATTTAAAAAAATATTTAAAATAAAAGCTTGTGGGTAAGTTTTCCCTATAAGGATCCGTAGTTCTCTTTCACTGTTCACAGTGCTGCAAACAAGCAGCGCTTAATGGAACTGTCTCCCTCGAACGGCCATGTTTCTGAATCTGCATCAGTTAGCTACCTCAGTTAATAAAAATTCAGGGTGCTGAGGTCACCTTCCAGAATCCCACACTATACCACATGTTCTCTCCCATTACAACTGAGATCAGTCCTAGACCCTAAAAAATCACCAGGTTTTATGACTCACAGATGTCAGAGAAATACAATCGAAGACAAAATAGCTGAGGCTCTAAATTTCCCAACTCGTTAAGTAAATGCACTGCCAGAGTCTGAGTTAAATAACATCCTATTTGGAATGACGACAAAGGCCATTCGCTTAGATCTGGCTTGTTCTAAATATGAGAGACTTGGATACAGTACAACCCATTTATCAAACACAATTTAGGCATTAATTCAGGATAAATTCAAAAGAAGGATGTACTAAATTACTATAATGAATATTTCAAAACTGTACTAAGTTTTTAAAAGAGAGTTTGGGAGCTAGGTCCTTTTTCTAGTGAAATTAGACTGTCCCACACAATACAAATGGCACCCCAAAAGAGGAAGCTGTGGAATTGGGCTGCTTAAAGACCACACCAAATTGGAAAAGGCCTGTGAGCCTACAGTCCACCTGGAAGCAGGACTCTGGAGGGCCTTTCATGTCTGTGGAGTGGGAAACGCCAGAGCTTCTCCATTTCAATGATGACATCGGATGGGATCACATCTCACCTTGGTCAGCAGCATGAAAATCATGTCACTGTTGTCCTCACTCAGGAACCTCACCACTTTCTCGTAGAGCTGTATGAACTCCGCGGGCGCAGCATTGGGAGTAAAGAAAGGAGACAGAAGAGAGCAGAGCCTCCTGTTCTTCAGAACGGTCTCCAGCACTCTTCTGCATTCTGATTTAGTGCCACTGATGAACACCTGGAACGAGTAAAAGAGGAAAATGCCATCAATTCTCCACTCCCCAACCGTTATTTAAGGAACCAAGTTTTAAGGGGTAGTATACAAGGCAAGCAGGAGTTCTTTCTAAATGAAAATATGAAACAATCAAAAGAAACCTAAAATGAACATATCACTTCCACTGTAGATAGTATGAACAATCTGCAATATACCTACCATGATTACTAAGTACCCAGAGTGACCCTGCATTATGTCAAGAAAACAAAACTTTTAGGTTATAGATTTTAATACTTTTAAAAAAGCTAACTTTTTACAATTAAAGTATAATCAGGAAAACTCACATTGCTTTAACTTGTTCTAATGTTTAAGAGTACTAGAATGTATGTGAATATTTAAATAATCTCAGGGTCAGGAAAGTTCTGATAAACTTGACCACAGGCAGCAATAATAAAGGACAAGACTGACAGATTTGAATTGATAACTTCTATAAAGCAAAGTGTATAAAATTAAAGAATGATGAAATAGAAAAATTAATTTATAACGAATTCCAGATACCGGGTTAATAGTCTGAGTGGCTCTTCGAAAAGCAATAAAAAAAAGAAACTCTCCAACAGAAAATGTGCAAAGGACAATAACCAGCAAGTCACCAAAAAGATATAAATGGCCAAAACATGAAAAATTATGCAACAAATACTTAAAGAAATATGACTTAAGCCCAGCTGGCGTGGCTCAGTGGTTGAGCTTCGACCTATGAATCCGGTCACAATTCTATTCCTGGTCAGGGCACATGCCCGGGCTACGGGCTTGATCCCCAGTAGAGAGCATGCAGGAGGCAACCGATCAACGATTTTCTCTCATCATTGATGTTTCTATCCCTGTTTCCCTTTCCCTTCCTCTCTGAAAGCAATAAAAACATATTCAAAATAAATAAATACATAAATAAATAAATAAAAGGGCTTCTGAACCTGCAATATAAGTCTGAAGTTACATATCTAATAAGAATACAATAGGGTGTACTTCATTATATCTGAAAAAGGCTAGCAACACAGATTAACCTCACCTGTCCCAAAATTTCAATGCAGGAAGTAAAGAACTGCCTCGTGGGAGGGTGACGTTGAGTCTCATCGCTGACGTAATCCACAACAGTAAAGAAGAGGCTCTGCGCTCTCCCTTCCTCTCTGAAATCAATAAAAATATATTTTTAAAAAATAAATAAATGGACATGGCTGTATTCCAATAAAACTTTAGGAAAATAGGTGGCACCCTCGCTGGTTTGACTCAGTGGATAGAAGGGTTCAGGGTTTGATTCTGGATTCTCTCTCCCTTTCCTTCCCTCTCTGAAATCAATAAAAATATTTTTTTAAAAAAATAAAAATAGGTGGTAGGGCAGATTTTGGTCCAAAGGCCATAGTATGCCAATCCCTATGCTAATTTAATTAGTGGATGCCTGGGGGAGTGTAGTAGACTATTACTATTGACAATAGCAAAGGAGTATTTTAAAATAAAATGTCCTTACAACTTACGTAATCAAGTTTTCTGCATGCACAGCCGCCTCCACAATATTAAGCGGTGGTGGTTTAGTAGCTTCTGCTTGTAACTGCTTCACTTCTTTCCACAAAGCATGAAGCTGTTGGCTTACTGCTTCGTTCTTGTGCATACCTTCAAACTAACAAAAATTAAAATGGTCAACAGATATTTTTGCCCCTAATGTTTCTAGAGTGGATATGTTATTACATATATACTGGCATATGATAAAAGATTATTATTACAATTAATATGATAGCTCAAGACTCTTGGTTGAACCTAACAGGGATGGGGGGGAAATGTCAAAAAAATATTCAAGAATCTCCAAATTTTTCATAAGGGGAAATTAGTTTTGACTTGAATTAAGCAGACTTGAATTCATTTTCGCTGGTTCAAAGTCTTCTGTAGGATATGCTCTATGTCACTTATGTTTTGATGCCGCAATCCTCATAAAAAGATGACTCAGTGTCTTCCTCCATGAGGCCCTCCTCTGTTGATCATCTGTCCACAAAGCCTTAACCCCTCTGCTCTCCCACCCAGCAGCACATACAATTCAACTCGAGACAGAGGCTGCACATCTCACGTGTGCCCAGCATAAACAAAGGAGGACATGGATGCTGTTAATAAAACATTTGCCATTTTGAAAGGGGAAAAAATGGCATATACTTATAAAGCAAACAATAAAATAAGATAAATACGGGACCTGCCCAAATCAGCTGCATGCCTTGGAAAGAGCAATTGACTAATTCAATGGTTCCTGAAACCTTATCTTTGATTAAATTTTTATTGGATTTCAGTAAAGATATAAAAAACCAAGAAGAATTTAGTAAGTTTCAAAAAAACACAACTAAATTTATCTCATTTAAATTTAAAAGACTATCCTTTATTTAAGATTATGTCTTTCCTAGTTGAGGGGCTAACAACCCTTTTTCTAATTAACTGATGGTGACCTATATAATAACTGCTTTGTTTCTGCATTTTTTAATGTCCTTTTTTGGATGTGGATTGATGCAGAAAAGATCCTTGGCCCAGGCTGCAACACAAAGACAGAACCAATGTGGCAGATGTGGGGGACAGGAGGACAGGACAATGAGGAGGAGGCTGGCCAGGCTGATTGGGGTCAAGGGATTGGGCTGAAGGGTGCAGTGCAGTGAGACTGGGGAGCAGGAGAGGCCTTTAAAGCAAACTGGGGAACTTAGACTTATTTTGCAGGCACGGTGGAGAATGCTGAAAAGACCAGAACATCTAGGAGGCAAGAGTTTTAAATACTACATTCTCCTTAGATGGTTTTCCACAATCACCTGGGTGAGCAGTAGGGTCTACATTTTCCTTTATATGCACCTGCCCAAACCCAGTCTTCAGCCACCACTATAATGGTTATAGGTACCCTTTGTCTGTGAATAATGTCAACACTTAATTCACAAACTTATTTAATCGAGACTTATTTATGTCAGGGGACATAAATTCCAAATCAAAAGCTCCTGAAGGGCAATGGTCCTATTTTGCTTTACACAGCACCCAGCACAGCACAGCTCTGACAATACACTCAACACCTACTTTTTATGATCATAATGACAACTTTCTTCTATAACATGCACCACCATTGTGGTAAAGATTTTTACAAAACTTCTTGTTTCAAAGAAAAACATAGGCTGTTAGTATGGATCAAAAGCCACAAAAGCGACTATCCAATAATATATGTTAACAATAATTACTTTCGTTTTTACTACTAGAGAAATGAAAGATAAAAAATTAAATAACTTCCATTAAACCACTTACTGAACCAATACAAATATTAAATTTCAAAACTTTCAAACAATAGGCCAAAATTTAATAGCTTAAGATGTGATTAGGAATATGATGTGCAGTCAGTTCTTTTGCCCAATATGTCAGCAACTGCAATGAGAGCTGGTCTTTGAGGGCCACAGCGCTGGGCTGGCCTGGAGAGAAACAGCCAGAGAGTGAAAGAGAATGTGAGAGAAGGAAGACAGTGAGGATGAAGGAAAGTGGAAAGACTTAAGGACAAGAGAGAAAGAACAGAGGTTCACTTCACTGGGAAATGTACAGACGAGACCAAGTCTACTTTATAACTTGAACTTTAAAACCTCCATCCATGTCGTAGAAACTACTAATACTGAAGAATAAAAGAAAACCAACTAGTGTAGGAAAGTTTTGCCACTTTCCCAAAATGCTCATTATTTCCTAGTCTACTTATTTTGTTTACTGTTTCCACCACTGTTGAAAGTTTTCTTCCTAGAACGGGGGTGAGAGAGACTGAATGACCACCAGCTCATAATTACAAGAAGTCGGAGACAATAGAACAAAGCAGCCTGATGGAAGCCCCTCCTGAGTCACTTGAAGTAGACAAAGAAATTTAAAAGTAGGACACAGCTGGTCCTCCAGTAAGCTTTCACAATAACCTGAGGCCCTCGGTGGGTCTTTTCCATCTTTCATTTCTAGGAATGAACAAATTTTTCACATGACAATAAATCAATTCTGAGTCCCGCAAACATGCCCCACAATAACAAAGTACAACACAAGGAACCCTATTATAAATCACCCCATGTCCTCAGGGAATGTCACTGAATTATTAGAGGCTTCTATTAGGAGAGGCAACCACAGAAGAAGCACGTCTCAATTCCCATAAAATATATTTGGCTTTTGTATACACCCAACAAGCTATACATAGTTCAAACTCTTGCAGATGGCTGGAAATTTCCAAGGCGTTCCCTCCCAGAAAAGTTTTATCAAGCAATAAAATATTTTCATGATATAATTTGAAATCTTCATAAATGAGCATTAAAATTATATTAAAACATTTATGTTTTTTAATTTTAAAATTTATATTTTAAATATGAAATCATTTCCATGAAGCTGATTTTAAAAAATGATCTGATCCATGCATTCTCTAATCAACGATCACATTCCAGATTGAATTTCCTAACTTTAGATGCATACAAATATGTTACTTTGCCAGAAATAAACTTTGAAGGTAATGAAAACTACAAAATATAAAAGTTATTTTTGAGAAGACATTTTAGATAAAACATCACCCAAGGAGATAAAGAGCCCTGGCCAGTGTGGCTCAGCTGATTGGGCATCGTCCCATGCACCAAAAGGTTGCCAGTTCAATTCTCAGTCAGGGCACATGCCTGGGTTGTGGGCTTGATCCCCAGTTAGGGGATGCAGGACGCAGCAGATTGATGTCTCCCTTTCACGTTAATATTTCTCTCTCTCTCCCTCTCCCTCTCTCTCTAAAAATCAATGAAAATACATTTTTTAAAAAGAATACATTAGAATACCAGAAGAAAATTTGAAAAAAGAAAAGAAAAAGAATACATTTGGACTGGTAAAAATGGGGATTGGCACACACACAAAGGAGAAATTATTGAAAGACAACCAAGGGTCAGTAAATAAAATGTCCCCAATTTCTAAAAGCTAACCAAATAGGAGGCTATTTTTGTGCAAATGTAGTCAGGCAGTAAGTAGGCCCCTCTCTAAGCATTTCTTCCCCAGCTCAGGGAATCTTGAATTCATGTGCAGACAGAGTGAGGTGAGGTGATTAAGGGGCATGTGCTCTAACCAGGCTGCCTGGGACTTCCTGGCTTAGCCACTCACTGGTGTGTCACCTTGGGTATGTAACTTAACCTCTCTAAGCCTTTATTTCTTCATCTGAAAATGCAGATAATAAAATTAACCTCTTACTGGGTTGTGGTGAAGATAACAATCAGTTCTGTCAAGTGTTCAGGCACTGGCTGGCATGAAGCAAATGCTATGATATGCTGGCTAAAGCTAAACTTCCATTTGGTAGTCCTTCCAAAATCACATCCAACTTAATTTTATTTTTCCAATTCAAGAAAGTGACTCTAGAGGTAGTTTAATTTTTATACACATTGTTGCACAACTCTCCATTTGCCTGTTGGCAGGTGCTACCCAGCTGATCTGCCTTCCACAGGTCCCTCCCATATTTGTCTTCAGTGACCCGCAACTGTCCACAGCACACAGCCAGCCCTCCCAGTGAGCATCCTTTCCAACGTGAACTCAACCTCCCCACTGTGGATTCCTACCACCACTTCCAACAACAACTTGAAACACACTGACACAGCCAGCCCCTGACCCCTAGATGAAGTCATGCTGACTCCATTCCCACACTGCTTCTTACTGAATCCAAACTATCATTACCAAAATCTTGTAAGGACCAGTTTAAGGCCCCCACTCTCACAATCTCCTCGATGATTCTCCTTTTCTTTGAATTTCTATCTGTTTTATATGACTTGTCAGCACTTATGGAAACAGGTGATTAGCTGTGTGTGTCTTCACTCCCCTAAAAACTGTTACATGTTTTGAGACACGGCTCACCTGCTATATACTTCATTCAGTCTTTCTCAATGATATGCCAATTAGGGGCTCAATTAAAATTCTCTGAACTACAAAGGAATTTAAACAATCTTACCTGAACTGTTACAACTGCTGCTCCTTGGCATTTCTTACCACTAATGCCTCTACACTCCAAATGTAATGTGGTCTGTTCTTCTCGATTAACATACTGTTTGGGCATTGTGTCCAACAGCTCACTATCCAGGGCAACTTGCTGAGATTCCCGAAGAGCAGCCGTTCTGGAGGAAAAAAAAAAATCATCAGGAGGTCAAAGAAAGTCTTAGAAAGATTTCATAATAAGTGATAAAGGCTTACAGTTACCCAAGCCTGCATTAGAGCAAGATATAAGGATTCCACAGTAAAAAGGCCAAAGGCGTGTATGCCAAGACTCACCCAAATTCTCACCCTGGCAGTCATGCTTACCAGAAAATTAAGAAACCAAGAAAAAGTGGGACAACTTTTTAGCCAGAAATAAAACTCCACTTAGAATCTGTTATATTAGCAATGCTTTTTAAATGAACCCTTAAATATACAAGAACAAATGAGAATTTCATCCTAATTTAACTATCCTAAAGGGGTGCCCTTACTTGTAAGTATCACTGATTTCTTAGGTATTAGTAACTCAAACTAAATTTTCAAAAATGGAGAAAGTTGCCCTAGCTGGTTTGGCTCAGTGGATAAGAACGTCGGCCTGCAGACTTAAAGGTTCCAGGTTCAATTCCAGTCAAGGGCACATGCCCAGGTTGCAGGCTCATCCCTAGTGAGGGGCATGCAGGAGGCAGCCAATTGATGATTCTCTATCATCATTGATGTTTCTCTCTCCCTCTCCCTTCCTCTCTGAAATCAATAAAAAATATGTATTTCTTTAAATGGAGAAAGTTAATTCTTACATGGTGTCAATACTGTTCTAAGTGTAGTTATGATTACTTTCTCGTGCAGGCCAGTACGTGTGTAACTATGTAGATGAGTTGTGTGCACATGCAAATACATAACTGGACCAAAACAGCAAAGGAAACAAAGGCCAATAAGAGACTGATTCCCAGGGGCAGGAGTGGTGTGGAGTGGGTCAATGGGGGGAAAGGAGGCATCTGTAATACTTTCAACAATAAAGATAAATTTTAAAAAAAGGAGAGGTTGATTCCTGTGGGATTTGCCAAATAGACTCTTCTACTTTATAAAATAGACTTGCTACTCACACGCTCCTTCTCACAAGATGGCAAGCTAGAACCTTAAAGAGTTGATCATTCTGTCTCTCTCGTGAACACAGACCACTAAATGCCTTGTCCGCACGTTGATCAATGCCTGTGCCGATTTTTAAGAGTATGGACAGTGAGAGAACAAAGCGATGACAAAAGGAAGTAAACCTCAATTCATCCCCTTTAAACACAACCTTTCCATTATCAGAAGGTTCCTCAGGAGAAGCATAGGAAACACTTAGCTGGCACTGCTGACACTCAGAAATGCCACCACAGGAAACATGTACAAATTTATAGTCCATGAAAGCACCACATAATTTCCATGGGAAATTAAAAGACTTGTCACAACTTGGTTAACTAAGTAGCCGTGTGAGTCCGTCTCCACCCATTACCCGCCTGGCCAGAACGCTGATGAGGACCCTTCCAGGTGCTAAGTCACCCAGCTGTCAAGGCAGCAAGCAGGGAGGGATGACCCGGGGGTCTCCTGGGCTTACCTGGCCTGCTGCCGCAACAGATTCAGGTCTGTGCGCACCAGCTGGGTGGTGTCCTTCTGACTCAGGAGCACATCAGAGGAAATAACCGGCACAGGAGGCCTCACTGGGTGCAGAGCAAGGGGAGGCAGGGGAGCGTCATGCTTCCGCAAGCTACTTAAGACCCTCTCTTTAGCTGAAAGAAAATAAAGTTATATTTACTGAGTAACGGCTACAACTAGGTAGTAACTTACTAAGAGGGTGCAAAGCCCTGGCCTGCTACCATCATAAAAAATGCTGAGATATACAGAATAGATAGTTCAGAGGCCTAAATCTTTTATCATTTATAAGCTCTGAGGGAGCACCCACACAGGCCTACTAATACTCTCCCAGGAGCTGGGAGATCAGGAGAACGTGGTGTGATTGAATAGAACTCCTACCTCAAAAAGTCTTAATGATAGTTAAAGAGTTAAAGCTCACAATCTTAAATTATTACCCTAGATGGCCTTGCATGATGCACTAAGGTGTTTGGACTTACGCTAGTACAAAGGGGATCTAGTGGCCCTAGCCAGTATGGCTCAGTGGATAAAGTGCTGGCCTGCAGATTGAAGGGTCCCAGATTCGATTCTGGTCAAGGGCACATGCCCGGGTTGCGTGCTCGATCCCCATTGTGGGACATACAGGAGGCAGCTGGCTGATCAATAATTCTCTCTCATTATTGATGTTTCTGTCTCTCCCTCTCCCTTCCTCTCTGAAATCAATAAAAATAAATTAAAAAAACAAACAAAACAAAAAAACAACAGAGGATCTAATGAACAGCTCTAAGTAAGCTTGAGAAAGATGGTAGCTACCATCAGACAATGGATTGGGGGGATGGGGCAGGTAGCCCAGTTAAAAGTTTAATGCAATCACCCAGATAAACTTCATAGGAACGGGAGAAAAAGAAATGAACATCATGGAATACAGCTAAAAGTGAAAAATCTTAAATAGGCCAAGGTTTAGACAAGAAGGCTGAAAGTAGTCGAGTTAAAATGAGTAAGAACATGGGCACAAACTCCTACAGAACTTATGTTTACATAGTCATATAGTCATTCATTCATTCATTCATTCATTTACTATTTATTCACTCAGCAAATAATCTATGGAGCCCAAATAAGAAATAAGGTGGCATGTAAGAAAAATAAAGGTAAATCTGTACTGTTATCCTTGCAGTAAATTGCACATGTTCTCATATTGCTGAGTCCAAGTTAAATGTTTACATTTCTACACCTAGTACACAGCTGAACACAACACAGTAGGTATCCAATATATCCTACCTTCTCTCCCTCTCTCTTTACTACACTATACACATACCAGAGTGCAGGCAGGAACTGAAGAACATGAAGAAAAGCTGCCACAACCCTGTTTCTTTTCCATAGTAAGATAACGGGATGAGAGGTCATGGGAGTGTCAAGTCAACAAGTACTTAAGGGACTACTATGAATTTCTGATTTCATTCCAAATGTAGCATTCAATTTTCTATTCTTGTTAAGAAAAACTAAGTTTAATAGACGTGACTTTACTTGGCATAAGAAGACTTGTACTATTTGTACCCCAAACAGATGGAATTTAACATTCCAAACAGGTCAAGTACAGGATCGTCCCTTATAGCCGGGGTTTTTCCACTAGAACTACCACTCCCCGCACAGAATGTAACAAAGTTGGATATTCATCACTGGATAAGACTGCTGAGTATGTTCAGGTTTCTTTCCAGCAACATTTTAGGACATGACTCTAAAGCAGGGGTGGGCAAACTTTTTGACTCGAGGGCCACAATGGGTTCTTAAACTGGACCGGAGGGCCGGAACAAAAGCATGGATGGAGTGTTTGTGTGAACTAATATAAATTCAAAGTAAACATCATTACATAAAAGGGTACGGTCTTTTTTTTTTTTTTAGTTTTATTCATTTCAAATGGGCCGGATCGGCCCGCGGGCCGTAGTTTGCCCACGGCTGCTCTAAAGAAAACTGGAAGCTCTTTTTCAAAATCAGTATCACTTATCATAAAAACAAGAAAAGAAAAATCAAGGATATTTTAAGTGCAAAATAAAAGACAGGCAAAAATAAATTCAGAGCATTTTTAACTATAATCACCACTCTGGACCAAAAGTGACTAAATCTATAATTCTATTATATGCCCTACATTTAAAACTGGTCCAAGCCATGTGCACACTAACCACCTTTTTTACCTCTCAGATTCACTATCTGCTCAGTGGGGATAAACCTCATAGGTTTGTTGGGAGGATGGAATTAACGCATATAAAGTATTGGGACAGAGCCTGGAACAAACTGAAGGCTGAATAAATTGCTCATTTTAGTCCAGAGAAAACAATCTGCCTCTGGGGGCGGTGTGAAGGCCATGTGAAAGCATTACAGATGGGAGGACATTAACAGAGCAGTATTCACCAGCTTCCAGACCTACAAACATATTTCTTTTTCTCCTTAACAGACTTTAAAGAATAGAAAATGAGACTCGATGTGGCCGGGTTGAGGGCAACTTTTAGACCTTCCCCTATATACTTCTCTATACTGTTTAATTTTCTTCAATGAACACATATAACTTTTACAGTTGTGGTGAAAAACTATTATTATTTCAGGGGAAAAGTGGGGAGAAAGATGTTGGAGGGAAAATGTTAAAGCCTTAGATGAAACTGTCTAGCACCTTCCTTTTACAGATGAGTGGACTAAAGCTTTTTTTCTCTGATCACACAGCTAACTAGTTGGTTAGTGGCAGGGCTGGAACAAGAAGATATTTTTGCCTTTCTCTAAATCACTTCAGTGCTCTATTACACTACATATTACAATATTTTATTCAAAAGTTATGTTCATAATTGTATTATATGCCCTACATTTAAAAAATATATTCAGTAATTAAAACCAGCAAGTGAACCTAAATAATTGTTTTATGTTATTTTTGTTGTAAGATATGTCATCAACTTTCCAGGTTAAATGAGTTTTTGTGGCCTGGCATAGAAAACTGACAATTTATAAAACTTTAGAAAAATGCATTGTGAGAAAACAACCAACTTAGAAACTTTAGGAATATGATCCATGTGTATTGTATGGTAAGAGTTCCAGATACAAAGAAAAGTTTATAAAAGAAAAGACTTCTGAACTGTAAAATTGCAAATCCAAAACAATGAAATTTAAAGTTGCACTTTACACATTGATGTCAATTAAAATGTCTTTTTAAAGTCACTTTTCAGTCTCCTTTTCAGGTAGGTAGAACCATGTGTCTCAATTTGAGCCAATGAGCTATAATTGGATAGTCTGTAAGCAGCTTCTCAAAAGAGTCCTTAAAGAAGGAGTTTCCCCTTCCTGGTGAGTAAAACATGAATGTGACCATAATCTTAACCTTGGACCATAAGTGGATGTCAGGTGTGAAAACAGTGGGGCAGCCACATAGGAGGAGCAGGGGTCCTTGAAGGCTTATAGGTCATGAAGTTACATACCATTCTGAAATGCCTGCATCCAGACTCCTTTTACATGAGAAAAATCAAATTAAATCTCTATCTTATTTAAACCATTACTATTTTTGAATTTTCTCTCACTCACAGCTTAACCTAATCCTAAGTGGTAGACAAGTTAACGATGAACTCCTTAAAAAATCAATGCTTACTGGAGGAATACGCTATTGTACACCTTAACCCTCAAAGGCTCTGATTCACTCATCCATTCCATCCTTCATACGAAGGGGCTGATGCTTGTATGACTCACCCAAAAAAGGATCAGTGAAGTCTAGCTGAACTGACAAACTGCAGGATGCGGAATGGGACTCAAGTTTGGCCTGCGTCCACAGACCAATTGTTTCTTGAAACTCGTAATGTATGCGCTCCATGTTCAGATATTCCATCCACAGATCCTAGAATGAAAACACAGAACCTTACTTTCCCAGATATATTCACATATAAACCTATATATTTAACTATAAAGTGAACCAATAAGTTTGGTCTATTCCAAGTTCTCCAGCATTAGGAAGAATCACATTTAAAACTGATACTCTAACAATCTTAGCAAGAATCTCAAAACTGCCCTGACCAGTTTGGCTTAGGGGCTAGAGCATCGGCCTGTGGACTGAAGAGTCCCAGGTTCGATTCCGGTCAAGGGCATGTACCTTGGTTGAATATATTTTAAAAAATAAATAAATAAATAAGAATCTCAAAACTTTTTTGATATTTATCATTGATCAGAAAAACTAATTTTATAGCCCCACTAAATGTATATTTATAAATTATATATACATATTACTGAGCTAAGAAATTATAAGACATAGGTAAATAAAAGAAATTGTACAGAGATAAATTTAAATATATTGAAAATAATTGAATCTGGATTAGCAAAAACTCTGTGTCCCACTAACAATTTACAGGGAACAGAAAAACATATTAAACTTCACCACAAAGACGCAGTAAACAACTGTAGACTGTGGGGAAACTCTATGGACAAACTACCCAGTTTCTTCAACAAATAAATTGCAAGGGGGAAAAGGACTAAGGAGAGGGCCTACAGATTAAAAGATATTAAGAGCTATAAACCAATCACAAAATTCGGATCCTGATTCAAACAAACTGTACAAATACAGCACAACAAAACTTTTACGACATTTATGAGACAATGAGAAATTTCAACACTGATTAGATGCTTGATTTTAATAGCCTATTGTTTTTCAAATGTAAATGCTATTGGATTATGTTACCTTTTAATCTTTATCTTTTTTTTTCTATCATCAAAAAGGATTCAGGGAGACCGTGTGAGCTGTGAGCCCTGCCCTGCTGCCACAAGTGGCTCGCGGGCCTGGGGAGGGACTGAGAGGTGCTCCATGCACCTCTTGGTGATTACAGTTGTGGGTCATTACGGTGTGATGCCATTACAGCTACAGGGCTTTCATAATTTTATATGAAATTATATATATATCAGGAAATGTCAGATTGCCTTACAGAATGGGTGAATGAATCTGATCTTTCACCAGCAGCACATGAGGGTTCCTGTATCTCCACCTTCCCACTAACACTTCACATTATTAAACTTTTTACTTTTTGACAGTCTGATGGATTAAAAAAAAAAAGGATTCAGGGAAAAAGAAAGTGCATGCAAGCATGGTAAGCCATGTGCACTTTTAATCCTCATCTTTTAATATCTTTATTTATCAAGTGCTCTCTAGGACAGTGATGATGAACGTTTTGAGCTCAGCGTGTCAGCATTTTGAAAAACCCTAACTTAACTCTGGTGCCGTGTCACATATAGAAATTTTTTTATATTTGCAACCATAGTAAAACAAAGATTTATAGTTTTGATATTTATTTTATATATTTAAATGCCATTTAACAAAGAAAAATCAACCAAAAAAATGAGTTCGCGTGCCACCTCTGACATTCATGTCATAGGTTCGCCATCACTGCTCTAGGATTAGCTCCAAGATAACATGGTGGAGGGTACGGGTGAACTACAGATGAAACTATACACATGGTACACAAAGTGGGGAAGGGGAGAATGGGCATGTCTATTATATACTACTAGAGTCCCGGTGCACAAAATTCATGCGGGGGCGAGGGGAGGGCGGGTTCCCTCAGCCCAGCCTGCACCCTCTCCAATCGGACATCCCTCTCGCAATGTGGGGCCGCTGGCTCCTAACCACTCACCTGCCTGCCTGCCTGATAGCCTATAACCCCTCTGCCTGCCTGCCTGATCGCCTATAACCCCTCTGCCTGCCGGCCTGATCATCCCCAAGTGCTCTCCCCTGCCGGCCTGATTGCCCCTAACTGCTCTCTCCTGCCTGCCTGATTGCCCCTAACTGACCCCCCCTGCCAGC